TGGTCTGAGACAGTCCGCAGGAATCTGCCAGGGCTCTGCCCAAAGGGAGGGGCCAACAGCCAGCAGGGCAGCCTGTGGGGCTGAGAGTTGACTAAGGCCTCCAGGTCCCACATCCCCCACCCCCACCGCCAACCCCTCCCCTCCCGCATCAGGGACTGAGTATTTAATCCATTCCCCCGTCTGATTTCCACCTAGGCACAGATGAAATGAGCCCATGATGACAAACTGTACCACTGGCAGACACTCAGCTGACCTTGGGTGGCTCCTCCATCACCACCGCCTTGAGCCCTGGAGGGTTCTGGGGCCTTGTGGGTTGGGTTATTAATATTAACAATAATAATATTAACAGCAGCCAGCTTGTCATGATGCCACCACACAGGAGCCACTGATCTGCGTGCTTCACATGTCATCTCATGTAACCAGTGCTCACAGGAAATTGAGTCTCAAGGGGATAAGCCACCAGCCCCTAGTGACAGCCGGGAAGTACAGAGCCCTCCTTTTTGGTCCCCACACCTGGGCTCAAAACCCCTTCCCAGGGAACAGCTGTGTCTGCCCCTCACCAGGCACCTGAGGAGACCCCACAGCTCCCGGGCGAAAGGTCAGCGCCGAGGCAGGGTGTCCCCAGCCAGGCCTAGCCGTAGCCCTCCCTCAAGACCACACAGGGTGAGGGGGAGAACCCAGAAACCTGGGCAGTGAGGCCCCTGGCGCCCCGTGGGATGGGAGGTCAGCAGGGTTATGAGGGGGAAGGTGCTGGTCCCAGGGTTTTCTTGTGGAATTCTTCCTGGAAGTCCCTTCATCTTCCTTGATTGGACCTTACAACATCCGGGGAAATTCTATTGCACCCTCCCTCAAGGGCCCTTGAGCCTTAAGTCAAAGGCAGACAGGGCCTCAGGGGCCTGGGGCCCAGTTCAAAAGCAGCTCCCTGTCACTGCTGCCCCCGAGAGAAGGTCCCAGAGGTCCCAGAGCCTGCCTCGGGAGCCAGGCCAGCCTCCTGGGCTTGCTTTCCCCTCCTGGAACCCCTATTTCCTCCTTTGTAAAGTGGAAATAACAATAGTGCATGCCTGGGATTAGGTGAGTCAGTCCCCAAGCAGCCGAGAACTGCCCTTGGCTGGCAGAGCCCTTGGTCACGAACGATGGCTGTTACCCGACTGTGAAATGAGGGCTTCCACTCCGATTCTAAGGGCATGTTTTAAGGTCCTACTGCGAGATCCACATGGAACAGGACTAGGACAGACCTCTGGGGAAAAGCAGGGCAGTGGGAGTGTTTACCTGTTGGAGGATCCTGGAAGTCACCTGGGTGGGGACACCCACCAGCCCAGGCCCTCCACGCCTCCAGGGCCGCCCACCCCGGAGGAGCTGGGTCTGGCACGCACACAGGCAGGTTAATAAAGGCTTGGGGTCAAAAAGGGCTTGGGGTGAAATATTTATAGATGGGTGGGGAAAAAAAGGCGGCGGAGCCGGGCAGACAGGCCGTGCCCCCTGGTGCGGGG